CAACATCATCCCACCTTTTCTCCAACTCAAGGTGCTCTCCACGCTTCTCCCTTGTCTCCATGTTATCTTCACAGCAACTCTGAAAGGTAGGTTAGGCTGAGAGACAGTGACTGGCCCAAAGTCACACCATGGGTCTGTTTTCTCATTTTTCTACCCATGTTTCCTTGCAACAGATCTTACAGTGAAAACATAAAGTAGTGTCCCTTATAGTACCACGGTAGAGGAGGTGGTGAGGCGGGAAACATTACCCAATCTACAGCCCTGCCCAAATGTCAATGTGCAGGTGGGCCTCTTGTGCACATGACTTGCCCATTCATCTAACTGGAGGCAGCAGATGCACAGATAGAAAGGAACGCATCCCTAGATCTGCCTCCAAGTCCTCATCAAAATTAAGAGAGCAGCCCTGGAAGGCAGAGGAATGTGAAGCATGCATAAAAGCATTCCTATCTGATAGCATTATAAGAGGGCTTGCTTCTTTTATTTACAGCACTAGATTTTGGGAGCTACAGAAGTCCCTTCCAGTGCAAAACTCAGAAGTAAGCCCTACTCCCTAGTCAGCATGTTTTAGGATTGCAGCCCCAAGCCATTACAGATATCCCTTAACACCACAGATTTCAAACGGTGAAATCTGGGGGTTTGTTTGGAAATGTTTCAGGGATTGAGACTGTGACTAACCTTGGGCAAGTTGCCACCTTTTTCAATCTTCCCTTGCAAATGTCAGGAATCTCACTGTGTTCAAGAGCACATGGTAGATTCACATGGGCTGATGCTGTCTGTCAATGGCTATGTTTTGCCGCCACTGTTGGAGGCAGCAACCTCTGCGTACCAGTTGCCGGGAATCACGAGTGGGGAGGATGCTATTGACCCCTGGTCCGCCTTGCAGGCTTCTCATGGGCATCTGGTTGGCCACTGTGAGAACACGATGCTGGACAAGACGGAGCTTTCGCCTGATCCAGCAGGGTCCTCTAAAACAGAGTCCTCTAAAAAACAAAGGGGACCTGTGGCTGATGCAAAGGGATTTCTCAGTGGATGAGTTAATATGGAAAGTATTATTTGAAAAAAGAAAGCTCCCAAACCCCTGCAAGCCAATCCAAAGATATGATTACAGTGGTACCTCTGGTTACGTACTTAATTTGTTCTGGAGGTCTGTTCTTAACCTGAAACTGTTCTTAACCTGAAGCACCACTTTAGCTAATGGGGCCTCCCGCTCCTGCCGCGCTGCCACCACACAATTTCTGTTCTCATCCTGAAGCAAAGTTCTTAACCCGAGGTACTATTTCTGGGTTAGCGGAGTCTGCAACCTGAAGCGTATGTAACTTGAAGCATATGTAACCCGAGGTACCACTGTATTAATTAGTACAGTATTAATTCAACTGTCCCATCTTTTCCACAGACCAGGACTCAAGGCGGCTTACACAAAATTAAAACAACACAGATAAAATACGGAAAGCTAACACCATATAAAAGATAAGAGTTAAAAAGCAATTAAACTATAATGGAATTTAAATGATACAAAAACAAATCTATTAAAATAAAGGATGGTAAGAACAGCGCAGCATTATTAAAAGCCCTTTCCTTAACAAAACAGTCAGTTCCCAAGAGCCTGTCAGAATGAAGCAGATAAAAACATGGCATTCAGTTCACCCTGAGAGAGTGGTGGGTGCCGCCTTGTTGTGCAGGAACAAGATGTGCAAGTTCCTTGCGCTTCCTGTTCTTCCGCAGCAACATTGTCTGAAACAGAAGCCTTTTGCATCTCCCCTGCTGGCAAGATGTGAAGGTTATACTCTGGATGGGATGTTGTCGTGGAGGAAGAGGGAACATGGGAGACCTGCACACCCTGTTCCTGCGCCGGAAGGCAATGTGCATCTCTCTCAGGGTCAAAATGAACCTTCAAAGCTTGTCTGGGTTAGGAATGGGGCAGAAATTTGATCTGTTAATGGTGAATCAACTGTATTCACACTTTATGAAGTAATATGCAAATTGTGATGCAACCATCCTTCACAATTCACATTTATTCAAATTTTGCCATGCAGTTCCCCAGCCAAGTGACATGTAAAAAAGAAGCACATACTAAGTAAAGTGTGCATTAAAAAAGCATTGGGGAAATGAAACGCCAAAATGCATCTGGGCAGCCACTGTGAAAACAGGGTGCTGGCCTAGATGCAGGCTTGTCTTAGGTTGTTGTGTATTGTATTGGGGGAATTGCTTTGCAAAAAAATGTGCAGATTAGGAAAAATTCACACTGAAATGTTGATGACTTTTCATAAGAGCTTTTAAAAAATGCAAACTGATGTGAAAGTATGAAGAACTTTAAGGCTGGAAAAATGAGAAACAGAGAGAAACAGAAACTCTGAGAGATTCGCCAGTTCCTAGTAGTCTGAGTGTATAGCAAAAAAAAAAAAGTTTATTGTTTCTCTATAACATTCTACTGACGTAAGAACACAGACAGTTGCCTTGCACCAAGTTAAATTATTTGCCCACCTCCTGTGATTGGGAGTAGCTTTCCAGAATCTTGAGCAAAGGTCTATCACACCACCTGCTCCTTTAGTACTGGAGATCCCTGGGATTAAATGTGGTTTCTTCTGCATATGCCCTCCCACTGAGCTATGCTTCCTCCCTCATACAGACCGAGCTTGTAACACACCCTTCACCATAGACCAGTTTACTTGGAAGAATAAACCACTTGTCTCCCTCTCTCAAACACAGCTTCAGCTCTTAGCTACACACGTCATGCTGTCCCTTCAACATGGGTGGTTTCACCTTCAGATGCTTTGATCTGCGTGTTCATTCATGTCACTTAACTGCACGCACAAAACTTTTATGCACTGAGGGAAAGAGAAGCAATTGTTAACAAAGCCATGATCCACACAGACAAATTTCCAGATAAAAGAGCGACTCTCTTCTTTGTGTCAAAAGTCAGGTCGGAAGAACCTTGGTACTTGGTACGAGAGACCAGTGCCCTGCGGGACTTGACATCTTTCCGCAGGGCCTGCAAGACAGAGCTGTTCCACCAGGCCTTTGGCCAGGGCACAGCCTGACTCCCTCCCTCGGCAATCTTTGCGGAGCTCTGGCCCAATGGTTGCCAGTGGCTTGAATTAATTAATTTTATAATGAATGATTTTAGAGTGTTGTTTATGCTGTACTTTTATACTGTTTTATTGTTGTTAGCCGCCCTGAGCCCGGCTTCGGCTGGGGAGGGCGGGATATAAATAAAATTTATTATTATTATTTATTATTACTTCAGACATTTAACAGTGGTTGGGGAAAATATGACACATGAAGCAATAGGCTTCCTTCTTGATTTTCTTTTTAAAATTTTAAATCAAAGCCCTCTTTTAGTTCTTGGAATCTTCTGCCGAGGTAAAAATGCTATTAAACATTCTGACTGTCAGGCTTTTGGTTTAGAGAAAAGCAAGTAAGAGGTGACATGATGGAAAAGTGGGTAAAATTATACATGGCATGGAGAAAGTGGATGGAGGGAAATAAGTTTTTCTCTCTCTCATAACACTAGAACTAGATCCAATGAATGTGAATGCTGGAAGATCCAGGACAGATAAAAGAAAGTACAGTGGTACCTTGGGTTAAGTACTTAATTCGTTCCGGAGGTCCGTACTTAACCTAAAACTGTTCTTAACCTGAAGCACCACTTTAGCCAATGGGGCCTCCTGCTGCTGCCATGCCACCGGAGCACAATTTCTGTTCTCATCCTGAAGCAAAGTTCTTAACCCGAGGTACTATTTCTGGGTTAGCGGAGTCTGTAACCTGAACTGTATGTAACCTGAAGCATATGTAACCTGAGGTACTACTGTACTTGTTCAGACAGTGAAATTAAAACTATGGAACTCACTCCCACAGAAGGCAGTGATGGCCACTGACTTGGATGGCTTTAAAAGAGGATTAGACCAATTTGTGGAGGATACAGCTATCAATGGCTACTAGCCACAATGGTTATGTTCTACCTCCACTATCAGTTCTCCTGAATATCAGTTGCTGGAAACAGGAGGGGAGACTAATGCTCTTGTGCTCAGGTTCTGCTTGCAGGCTTGGCCACTCTGTGAGAATAGGATGCCTGGGGTAAAGGAACCTTGGCAGACTCTCCTTATGTTCTCAAACCAGTGATCCCCAACTTCTGGATAAGACTTGGATTGAAAGAAGAAGAGGAGTTTGGATTTGATATCCTGCTTTATCACTACTCGAAGGAGTCTGAAAGCGGCTAACACTCTCCTTTCCCTTCCTCCCCCACAACAAACACTCTGTGAGGTGAGTGGGGCTGAGAGACTTCAGAGAAGTGTGACTAGTGCATGTGGAGGAGCAGAGACGTGAACCCGATTCCCCAGATTACAAGTACACCACTCTTAACCACTACACCACAGTAAAGCCTATGTGTTAGACCATATAACTTATTTATTGCTTACATAGCAGGGAAGTTAAATTGGGTGACTTTACTATTTCATATCAGTGCATGAGTAAGTCAACTGTTTGTGCCTCAACTCACTCTAGTAAACCACTTGGGTCTTGTTTTTTTAACCCCACATTCCAAATGAGGTTCACATTTCCTTGCATCAAATGAGGTTCACATTTCTTTGCATTTGATGGAGGGAGTCTATGATTCGAGGGACCTCGTGCCATTTTTTATTTTTTTTAAGGCGCCACAAAATAAACGTCGCAGTTTCACGGAAGATTGTGGCCGATCGATTGATGGCTATTTGCACACACACACACACATGAACAAATGTGGGCAGCTGCGCTGGTCCATTAAAAATAAAAATTCCGCAGCAACACTGTTATAAAAAATTCAGATCCTCAGGCATGCCGCAGAATTAAATCGCCTAATAGACCGTAATTCTGCGGTTTTGCAGCGGACCCGTAACACGTCACCGTACCCGCCCACCTAGCACGGGAGGCTGCTAGGCCCCGCCCACATCCCCTTCTCGCTGCGACGTCAACGCGTTGTACCTCTGTTACCGCGGCAACCAACTGCTTCCCCCCCTCCCATTCTGACGCCAATCCGCGGCGTTCGAAGTGTTGTTATCGCGAGAGACGAGCGGGCTCGGGTTCCTTCTTTCCTCCTAACCTCCTTCGACAGCCTTTGGACCTCGAGGAGAGGGGCGTGGCTATGCAAGCGAAGTGGGCGGAGGCTTCCGGCGGGGTTTGGCACTGACGTGGAGAATCCAGGGGGAGCCTCTGGGGCTTGACAGGTAGAGGAGGCGAGGAGAGAGCGAGCAGCTGGATGCGGATGCTGAGCTCGAGGCAGGCGCTTCCGGTGAGGGGAAAAGGCAGGGCGACCCCCCCTCCCCCCACCAATAATAATAATAATAATAATAATAAGGGTTGTAAAGGGGAACTCGGACGGTACCTGTGGCGGGAGGAGAGCCTCGCAATTCCCCCCCAAGCCTACCCCGTAAGGGCTGTTGTGAAGAAAAAATAGGGATGGCATCATGTAGCTATTGCTGGTTTTTGTTATTATTAACCACTGTTGGTAGTATTGTGATGTTTGGAAGAATGTGATGTTTAAATAAAATTCATTTTCTAGGCTTTTCACACACACACACACACACACACAAGCAATGCTAGATAAGTAAAAACTAAATTTCTCTAGTGAAAGCAGATTTCTCTCCCTGTTAGGTATATGAACCAGGCCAAAAGGTAGAGCAATACAGTCATGCCTGAGCTACAGAAAGTATCCATGCTGGTACATGGATATAGAATTCTGTGCATTAAAAAATATGGGAGCTATGAAATGATAAAACAAAGAAAATAGTCTGTTCTGTTATTGTGCAGCATCCATTCTGTGCATTTCAGAGGAACTGCCAACCAGTCAGAGCTGATTTAGATGTTGCTTTGAATAGCGGGGTGGGGAAACATAGTTTATGCCATGGCACTGACATGGTGCTTACCTGCAGTGAGATTTGTGTGCTCTGGAGCACTTTGTTAATTTATTTAATACCGTTTATAGACTGTCCTACAGCCAAAGTTATCTGGATGGTTTACAGGGATTAAAACCAACAAAAATGAACAAACAACAACATAAAACCAGAATAACGTCACAAAGTCACAATTCACTTTAAAACAGCAGCAGTAAATCAATTTAAAACTGAAGGCAGAGAGCTTTCAGAGATAGCAAGTCACTTCTTAGGTGATGGTGGGTTTTTTCTCCTTTCCAGGTAGTTTGGAGCAGTCAGAGTCTCCCACAAGAAGCCATCAATAATTTGGAACCATGTTTGCAGACTTGGACTATGACATTGAAGAGGACAAGCTGTAAGTGTCTTTGCTTTTCTATCTTTTTTTACTCAGTAGGTTTGTATGTATATATGTTTTTTCTGGAAAAAAAGAGCTGTTCAGATAAGGCATTAGTACTGTCAACTTTTTGGACTGCACCCACAGAATTTGGGTTGGAAAAAAGTGGAATGCACACCCTAAAAAATAACCCTGAATATCCTTAAAGGGTTGAATTTAGAGCTGATTTGCATATGACTTGGTTTGGGGGCTTAATTCAGTTCATAAGGACATATCTCCTACTTGGGTTGGATACTATGATTTTAATTTTATGAGAGAACAGGAATGAGGTTTTGTATCTGGAAAGGAATACATGTACTAGAAGGAGAAGGTATTGCTATTACTCTTATGTATGTAAACACATAATACGATTTTCCTTTCTCTGATAATATAATTACTATGTTTCATGTGTGTTATGTTTCTTATGTGATTGTTGCTGTCCCAATATATTCTACAATATATTCCAAAAGCAGAGATGACACGTTGATGGTGGCACCCACTTTTATGCAAATTTCTGTACCTCTGTTTCATTCTAGGGGGATTCCCACTGTGCCTGGGACAGTGGTCTTGAAAAAGGACTCTCAAAATCTGATTGGTATCAGCATCGGGGGAGGAGCTCAGTACTGTCCCTGCCTCTATATAGTTCAGGTTGGTGTTTTTAGGAGAGGAGTGTTTTATCCTAGAGAAAAGAAGGACAGTTAGGATTGCACTGAGGGTGAGATTGGACCACACAGTTTTGAGCATAGTGTAATTCTCAGTTTCATTGGACTTCCGCCAGCAATAGCCTTACATATAAATGCAAAAACATTGTCTCCCAATGCCTTTCTGTCTGTCACAGGGCAACCTGAGTGGCAGATTTGGCAAGTTAACTGTATTGGTCTATTGGTCCGTTGTTATTTGCTCTTTTTCTCTTTAAAATACTTCATAGACTTGTAAAGAACTATATTATTAAGTTTACTGAATTTCATGTGTGTGACCTAAAAAGAAATCCCGTGGGGAAATCTCATGATCCAGTGAGAGCTGTGAACATATTCAGCATTTTTCATCTGCAAGGGATGTGTCATAAGTAACACTAAGGACATTTTCCCAGTATCTAACAAATTTGAATTTTTGACCTACACAAATGTGAAGAACATCCATTTTTAATTTGAAATTAGGCTGTTTAATTTGGGTGATCCAGCAAATATGTGAGCAGATGGGATCATGAATATGTTTTTTATTGGTCTCCAATATTAGTTTTTCACCATAGAGAAATGCAGAGTCAGAGGTATCCCTGCTGGGATATTGGTGTTTCTGTAAGTGGGGGGGACGGGACCCATTTGATCATGATAGTGTGTGCAACAACAACATTCATGAAATTGATATGAGTGACAACTCTGAGGTTTAAAGACTTTTTATAAATAATATGAGCAAAGGGGCATGAAAACAGATGTGCTGCCATTCTGGTTCCTTACTCCCGTCTTTGCCTTTTTCCTGCTTTCACCTTCACTGTGTCTTCCTCTTCAGGTATTTGATAACAGTCCTGCAGCTCAGGATGGAACTTTGGCAGCTGGTGATGAAATCACAGGTGTGAATGGGAAGTCAGTCAAAGGGAAAACCAAAGTAGAAGTGGCCAAAATGATACAGGTGGTGAAGGTGAGAGGTAGGAAGGGGTTTCTGGAATGCAAAGTGTCCATTGTTGCTTTTTAGTGGAAGTCGTCTCCCTTCCTCTCAATTGCAGAACAATAGCTCTGGCTTTTCCTGTTCCAGGGAGAAGTGACAATTCATTACAACAAACTCCAGGCTGATCCGAAGCAGGGAAAGACATTAGATATTGGTATGTCGTGCCGACCTCTCGGTCTCCCTCGTAATGCTGATGTAATAAACAGGACTGGCTTTTCTGTGGCATTTCTTTTATAATTAGCCCAGTTATGATTTCCTCTTCATTGGGCTTCTTCTGTATGACTAGATATAATAGTATAATTGCTGTGCTATCGGCATAGAGAAATGATTCTGCTCACAGAGTGTGTTTCTTTCCTGGAATATAGTGCTGAAGAAAGTGAAGCACCGCCTGGTAGAGAACATGAGTTCAGGGACAGCAGATGCCCTGGGACTGAGCCGAGCCATCCTCTGTAACGGTAAGCAGCATTCAAGGAGGACATTCACACTTGGCCTCTGTGACTGTTCCAAGCAATGCCAAGGACCATGTTCACATTCTCACATACTTACAAAGTGTGTGTTGTCCTGAAAGTGGCCTTCTGCATTGGTTCATAATTTTGTGGCATTGAGAGCTGGGCTAAATAATGAGATGTGAACCAGAAAGTCCTCGGTTCAAATCTCGCCTTCATCGGCAGCCTACTCTGTCTCAGCCTTAGCCCCTCATCTGCAGTGTAGGAGTAATAATACTTCCCCTTACCTTCAGAACTGTTGTAAGGATTAATGAGATAATATGTGTGAAGTACTTGAACATTTCATTGTGCTATATCACAAGGCTGACAGTGAAAGTTGGCAGAAATTTGACGAACTGGAGAATCCAAATACAGTATTCTTTCTCCTGAATTTGTGAAAAGATGTGTGATTTCAGGACCCTCTCCTTCAGCTCTAGGCAGTCTTTTCCTGCTCTAAAGTCTGTCTGACAACTTTTCTCTTCCTCTTTCTCACTTGCCTCACCACTGCTCAAACTTTTCGTAGTTTGCTCTCTGGACTCCACTGCTTTGTCATTCTTCATTCTCTTTTCTAGGTGACATGAAGAGGGTTGCCTTTTTCTGCACAGCATATACACCCGCTCTTCCACATTTGTTTCTATGTGACTTGATGCCTGTTTCATAAATCTGTATCATGAATGCGCATTTGTGAAAGCTCTGACAGTGGGAACCCTAACTAGAGGATTTCAGCTCTTATCGCATCAAACTCTCATTGTAATAATGGATCCCTACCCCTTTCCCTGGTTCTCTCTCTCTCTCTCTCTCTCTCTCTCTCTTTTTGGTAGATGGGTTAGTAAAAAGACTGGAAGAGCTGGAGAGGACCGCAGAGCTATACAAAGGTAAATAGACATTTTCCTTCCTTGTTGTGAAACATAGAAAGAGGTTTGTGTCTTGGGGCTTATGTTGATCATTTATTGAAGGATTGAATGCTTTGAGAAACATATCTCACCCTCATGGCCTATAAGCTTTTAAGGTTTCAGCCCAGGAGGCTACCCCTGATAAATGCATAGTAGATAAGAGACAAGATTTATTTTCTTTATTACATTTATATCCTGTTTTTCCACCACTTAAATCTTTAAGAGGGCTTGCAGAGTTTTTTTCAATGGGGACAGGTAAATATTTCACCCTAGAACAATATTTCACCCTAGGACACACCAACAGACAACCTTAACCTATACAAGATGGTCAATAACATTTATGTTACCACAGTTTTTTGCCTTGGTGTTGCTGGTAGGGCAGAGAGTAAATCCTTCCAAGAATCACTTGCATGTCCCTGCGTACACACACACACAGAAACCAACCCAGGAGCAGAGCAGTTAATGACATCCAGGTCAGTGCTGCTCTTGCCATACAGTCTTTCCTGCATGCAGTCTCCCTGACAAGAACCAGCATAGGCTACATTTTTCTCATGGTACGAAAGGTGATGTCAGTGGAGATTCCCCCCAACCTCACTTGGTCTTTGTTTTGTTTTCCCAAAAGCCTGCTGTGGTGCTAATGTCCTGAATTAAAAGTAATGATACCCCACCCCTTGTCCATAGTGAATGTTTTTTTCCCCCTCTAACTCTGTCTAGGCATGACGGAACACACAAAGAGTCTCCTCAGAGCTTTCTTTGAACTTTCTCAAACTCACAGAGGTAAACATGGACCAGAAGACTTTCAGGTTGTGACCAAATCATGGTACATGCTTCTGTGGGCAGGAAATCTCTCATCTTAGACCTTGAAAATGCTATAATTGTCATCCAAGACAATTATGAGAACTACGGGTCTTAGTGCCAGTAGTTTGTAAAGTGTTTTGGGATTTGCTTCTCTCAAGTGTGTGTGCTGACAGGTAAAAGAATCCTTTTGAGCTTCTCTCCTGCTATTAGCCTGCAGAAAAGCAGTTTAAAATGTACCTGTATCAGGTGCTCAAATCAATAGACATGCTATTCCAAAAGATGGGCTTAGGATCTTATTTCAACCAATTTGAATTGTTTGTGTCACCCGTGGACATATGCATTCCACTAGAGGCTCCACCCCTGCTTGTGCTGCTCACCACCCTGTCTACAATCCACCCCCCCCAGCAAAAAAACCCCACCCCACACCAAAACCTACGCCACCTAGACCTTGACTACCCCCCACAACTCACTAGATCAGGGGGTTTTCATAAACTGCTTGAAGGAAAGCCTTGCCAATTTCACTGGAGAGCAGGGAACATCATGAAGCAAATGACTGATAATGGTGGGCTTGGAGGATACCTGTTGGGTTGCACCCAAGTCTAGTCTCAGAGCAGTATGGGCCTCCATTAAGGGTAGGTAGGTGGGGCAGTGTCTTCTGACTTTGTTGCCAAGGGTGTGGTGATATTTGAAGTAGTAAAAGCATGGTGTTTATACTATGGTAATGATCATGAACTGAAATGAGGAAATAGTCCAAATTGATAAACATCAAGCCTGAAAATGCACCTGTTATTTTGACTATGGTCCCCAATTGCATGTTTTGCTGTTTTTGCCCAGCATTTGGCGATGTTTTCTCGGTCATTGGTGTACGGGAGCCTCAACCAGCTGCAAGCGAAGCCTTTGTGAAATTTGCAGATGCCCACCGCAGCATTGAGAAGTTTGGAATCCGCCTTCTAAAAACTATCAAACCGGTAAAGAAACATAGAATCGTAGAATTTTGTAGGGGTGGAAGGACCTCAAGGGTCATCCAGTCCAACCACCTTCAATGCAGGAATATTAGCTAAAGCATTTGTGGCAGATGGCCATCCAACCTCTGCTTGGATGAAGGGAAGTTCATCACCTTCCAGGGAATGTTTGGGGTATTTTACAGAGACTAAGGTAACACTGCGAACCACCCTGAGACCCCCAGGTATAGGGCGGTATATAAATTCAATTAAAAATAAGAATAAGAATAAATGGTTTGCAGTCTCCTTTGGAGGGCAAAAGTGAGGTGAGGCAGATAAGGCTCAATAAAAGGGGTAACAGTGTTGGAGGACAAAGGGTGGCATTAGGCCAGTTGTAGTACAGCTCTTTACTCACCGTTATGTGGGGCTTTTCATCTAGCTCTGCTTGTCTGCTCTCTCCACAGCACCTCTCCCAGCTAGGCAGGGACACATCAAGGTCCATTAAAACAGAGGAAGCCAGATATGGGGTAGTGGGGGGGAAAGGGGGGCTCAGAGACCTGGAATGCCTTGAACTAAGACAGGGGAGTACGTGGAAGTGGCGGAAGGGTGCTAATTTTATGTGGCTTTGGATCAGACCAATAACAGGAGTGGTGAGCAGAGCCTCCCTCAGATTGGCTAATAGATGTGCCACAAATGTCGCATCAGGTCCTCTTAAGTGAGAGAGAGGCTCCGTTGTGCATCCCGTGTTTTAACTATGCTGAGAGCTGACAGAACGGTTGACGTTCACAGATCACATCCACTTCTTGAGATTACTAGGCTTGTTGCATGCAGAAGAACCTTTTCTGCTCTGTTTGGTCCTACATTTTTCACTGTTCAGCCTTTCCTTACAGATGCTAACTGACCTGAACACTTACCTGAACAAGGCCATTCCTGACACAAGGCTAACTATCAAGAAGTATCTGGATGTCAAGTTTGAGTATTTGGTAAGCTGTTCTTTTGTTGTTGTTAAGAATGCTCAAGAGGGTGGTCCGCATTGCCTGAAATACTGACGATAGTGGGTCCCAGGTGTTCTGCCAGTAGTGAACAAGAAGGAGGATCTGTTTGTTCACTCAGGCTTCCTAAAATGGTAAGTCACGGAAACATTCAGAACAAGTAGACATTTCATGCAAGGGACCTACTGATGGCTTTGCCTTGCACTCCCAGGTCAGATATATCAAGCCAAGGGAACTGGCAGCACCAGAATACAGCTCCTAAATGGAGCAGCTTGTGTGATTGGATTGGAGTAGCATTCACAGCATGCTGTTGGTAGCTAGACAGGGTGCTGTTTCTTTCAGGTCTGCTCATTTTCCCGTTTTAAAATAAAAACAAGAACTAGAACAAGACCCAAGGGGATAGGACAAGGCCCCAGTGCAAACCAGTAGCGCCATACAAATACATGCCATTCCACAGCTGCAGCAGGTATGTCTTCCTGGCAGCAATTCCATTACAGCATGAATGTTGAGACTTAAGAACTAGCTTTGAATAGGACATGTTTTCTCTTAAAGTAAAGGTAAAGGGACCCCTGACCATTAGGTCCAGTCGTGGCCAACTCATCTCGCTTTACTGGCCGAGGGAGCCAGTGTACAGCTTCCGGGTCATGTGGCCAGCATGACTAAGCCGCTTCTGGCGAACCAGAGCAGCGCACGGAAACGCCGTTTACCTTCCCGCCAGAGGAAGGTACTTGCACTTTGACGTGCTTTCGAACTGCTAGGTTGGCAGGAATGTTTTCTCTTATTCAGGCGCAAATCTTACTTCTGTTTAATTTCTTTTCATTCCCTCGGCTTGGGCAATCGGGGAAGAAGAGATGTTGTGAAATACCACCTCCTTTCTTTTTCAGGGTTTACATCTCTCTGATCTTAGTGTGTGATTTCTCCTCATTGCCAAGCCTGACCATTGAGGAAGCAGCAGACTGTTACTTTTTGACACATGCGTCCATTCACTGTTTTTCTTTTTGCTTATTAACTGCAGACTCCCTAGAATAAGTTCCTACACATGTGCCTGTTTCCCCTTCCTATGTCCTGGGAACTGTAGTTCATTAAGGATAATGGGAACTGTAGTTCTGTGTGGGGTAAGAGTCCTTGTGTGCTTTCAATGCATGGTGTGTGCACAGCCACCATTGGAAGAAATGTGGAACTTGGAGAAATTAAAAGTACAGTTCTGTCCTTAAAAGCGCATCCCAATCTGTCTGGATGGATGGTAGGAGTAGTTTGTAACATTGCTTATTTCTTATTCCCTTTCAGTCTTACTGTCTCAAGGTGAAGGAGATGGATGATGAGGAATACAGCTGCATTGTAAGTACTGAGCACTAGCATGCACAGTGGTTACATCCCATCATAGTCCCATCTTTGCTCGTGGGCACTCCTATTGCCTGCTTGCCTGCTTCACAGACTTAAATGCAGGGGTGAGTGTACTATGCTCATGCTCACCAAAGTGGCATTCTTCTGAATCTTGCATTGATGTGCAGATTGACACTATTTAAGACAGTTCCCCCCAACTCTAAATTGTGGCTCAGGGGAAGTCAGTTTATGGACTAAGATTAGAACTTACTTCAAGCGCTGTGGTCATTTGTACCTTGCCAAGCAAGCAGCTAACAGAATGTATAGCTTTTAATGTTTGGCTGTTGGCCAACCAGGGTTGCAGCATGATCAAGCGAGAAGCTTAAGTTTGGCCAGGCACATTAGGGAAGCATTTAGCCATACATGAAGCCATTGCACGATTTGTGGTTGGTTGCTACATTGATGTCATATTTTGGGCAGGCGCTGGGGGAGCCTCTCTACCGAGTCAGTACTGGGAATTACGAATACCGCTTAATCCTGCGTTGCCGCCAGGAAGCACGGACGCGCTTTGCCAAGATGCGGAAGGATGTGCTAGAAAAGATGGAGCTGCTAGACCAGAAACATGGTGAGTGGGGTTGCCTTTTCCAAAGACTAGTTTGTAGAGACTCTGATATCTACAACTCCCTTCATCCCTGACCATTGGCCATGCTGGCTGGGGCTGATGGGAGACGGACTCCAACAACGTCTGGAGGGCTGCAGGCTCCCCACCCCTGCCCTGGAGCCAATAATGTTCACCTGCCATCAAGCATGCTACTGCTTCTTACCTGAGTCTGGCTGTGTTCTTCCCTGCCCCATCTTGAAGTATACCAGCTGTTCAGCCAAATGTGCCATTGCTCCAGTGTAGGGATGGGTAACTGGCAAACCAAAATCCGGATGTTTTATGAGCCAGCAGCTGAGCCAAGATGTAGAGAACCGTGTTGGTCTTCGCAGGAAACACACCCAGATTCTGGACCTTTCTATCACTCTTCTTGTGACTTTTCCAGATCTCTCTGTGTGTGACAGATAGAAACTTATTTGCCTGCCTTTGCTGTAGTGAGATAAGAACGTTAATGTCGCTGGAACTAGAAAAGCAGAGGGATATTTCAGAGTGACTTTAGGACATCAGACATACATTGTGGAGGGAGGTTGAATTGGAGAGGTGTCTTTGTGCTGGGAGAGCTCTCTGAGGTGAAGCTGAAAGATCAAGGATAGAACACTGTGATGTGTGATTTTTTAAAAACCAAACTTTTCTTTTTTTGAAGAAGTGACCTTAGAGCTTAAGGAGTGTTGAGCAACATGAACAACTGTGTCCTTGTTTAGGAGGAAGGGTGGGGGGAGATGCACACAGGAGCACCTTTTCAAAATGTTGTATCCAGTGCTTATTTTTCTAGAAAAAGAGGTGGCAGAACGCCTCCCTTGTTCTCTTAGATTGACAATGGTGGCCCCCTGAGAGGTGCCAGAACCTAGTTCCAGCTGGAAAAAAAAGCCTGGTTGTATCCCATAACAACACAATAGGGTCAGGTATAATAATAAATAGCTCGGTTGTGGAGCTGCTTCCTATTGAGACCCCTGCACCTTGAGATCTCTCCCATGTATGTCAGCTTACCTTCCTTTTGTCTATAAACAATTGCTGACTCTGCTTGGTTGAATTGATCCATTCTGGATCCTTCACTTTGCAGTGCTGCCTATATTATACCAGGAAGTCATATCCACTGAGTTCCAAAAAGCCTATTTCCAAGGGCTTGCTCTTGGTTCCACAATCTTTGGCATTTAGGCATTTTGCTTTAAACAGTAAGTAGCATAAGCCAGGCTGCCAAAAACAAGGGTTGCAGTAACTGTGAGGATTCTGTAAGTTGGGTGCCTGCTTCCTACACACATGCTGCGCCACCCCTTAACCACTGTCTGTCCTCTCTTGCAGTGCAAGACATTGTGTTCCAGCTCCAGCGCTTTGTCTCAACCCTTTCCAAGTACTATGACGACTGCTACGCGGTGCTGCGGGATGCCGACGTCTTCCCCATCGAAGTGGACCTGGCACGTACCACGCTGAGCTATGGCCAGAAGGATGTCTTCACAGATGGTGCAGAGGATGAGGACGAAGAGGAAGGTTGCGGAAGCCGTGAGTGCAACAGGAAGGAGGAAGAGAATGGCGAGAAGCTCATTGATGATGCCTGAGCTCATGGACTTGATGGAGTGGGAAATCCCTTCAGAGACTGATAAATTCTATTTCTCTAGGCAACTTGTCCACATTGACTTTTTTTGTCTGTATAAGCCCAGTTGGGGAATCAAGATTCTGTTCTGGATGTGGGCAGAGGAGTGGGCCTTGTGCCGAAAGTGCTTTTGCACAATCCCTCTTTCAGAAAACCCTTTCCTCCTTCCTTGTCTCTCTTTCCCCCAAATCTTACTTCCCATCCCTGGAAGTGGCAGGAAAGAGACAACTACCTGGGAGAACACCCTTGAACCTCATCCCATGGTGGCTCTCTGTGCAGAGGGATTGTGACTGAATGTGCAGGACACACACAAACATACCCTTTCATTAACTAAAATGTCAGAAATGGTTCTTGCAGTCAGCCTGACCTCCTTGTGCATCAGCTAAGTCCAAAAACTTGTCCCCATTCCTACTTTCCAGTGTGTGAGAAGAATGGAAGTGGATAAGTTTGGTCTCCTTCCTTCTTTCTCTTAACTTACCTTGCTGTTAGTAGGCGGGTCTTACAACATGCCCCTTCCCTACTACTAGGCATGGCTCTTATTAGACAAGAAAGGAATCAGGGTGAATGGAAACTGGGTGAAGCCAGAACGATCAGCCTCTGAGAGACTAATCAATAAAGGGCATCAGAAGGACATCCAGGAGAATCAGTTTTTGTCACTATCATTCTTCTCATCAGGATCAAGTCAGTATGGACCAGCAATATGGGACTTGACACTGGGGAGAGATTACCCAGGTTTACATTCCCAGTCCCCACTGGTTTTAAGGATCTCACAGCCTGCCTTTTACACTATCTTGCATAGGTGCTTTGCTGCATGAAGTTTTCTAAAACTTAAGCCTTATATAGTATTTAAAAAGGTGTTAGATTTGGAAAAAAGCAAACATATCTTGGGGTGGGGGGATGATTATCCGTGGAATGAGGCCCATAGATTTGCTGAGGTTAAAGATCAAACAGCCAGTTTAAGCATTAAAGCTCTCAATTCCTACACTGCACTTTCATTACACCTACACATTTACTTTTATTCCTTTTGAAATGCTGCTTCTGAGGACAGAGAGCCTATTATGCGCCTTGACCAGTGTCCGCACCCCCCTCACTCGCCCACATGAATCTCCCGACACCAAGGCAAGAGGGGCGGGGAGAGAAGGCTTGTTTGTTTTCTGAGGAATTATTCCAATCCTGTATCATTCTGATATTTTTTCATGCAATGGAATGGCATTTTGTCCTGATTAGCAAGAGTGATCTTTTGGTAATAAAGGGGTGTTGGTTAACTCTTATGTAGATTGTGCCAATTGGCAAGGAGAAAAGCTACAGAAGAGCTTAAAATTTATGACATATATGCTTTCCCCTTGGTTTTTTATTTCTGTTGTGTCTTTATGACTGGCCAAGAAAAGACCATGTGGGTCCAGCGTATTCTTCAGAGCGCTTTTATGTGTTGAACTGTGTGACCAATAAAGAAAAATGTGAACTTTGTTGTCTTACCTTTTTCCTCCTGGCTTGTCCCTCCTTGATCCTTTTGTTCCTGGTCACAGGAAGAGACATGAAGGGCAGGCACTATTGATCAATTTTGCAGTCGGAAAGTATGGCACGGAGACCAATGCAGTTGCACTTCTCCATATACCTCGGTTCTCAAATGGAATTCCATTCCCGAAGCCCGTTCAGCTTCCAAAACATTCAAAAACCGAGGCATGGCTTCCCATTGGTTGCAAGAGCTTCTTGCACTCAGCGGAAACTGCCTCGCACATTCGGGTTCTGAAAAATGTTCGAAAACGGAAGCATTTACTTCCGGGTTTTCAACATTTAAGAACCGAAACGTACGACAACGGAGGCGTTCGGAACCTAGGTTCCACTGTATAGGACTGTCCCTTGGCTTAAATTTCAGATCATCCCCTTCCAAATCAGGTATTCACCTAAGGATTGCTGTGCAATGCTTTGCTTAGTGAACATGCTTTAAAGTTACATATATATTCTTTCAAAGGGAACCAATTCTTAGCAGTTCATAAATGCTATGCAAGTAAGAAACAAGCTGCCCTAATGTCTTGCCATGTTGAATATGCAGCTGGCAGCAAAACTACATGTAAGGAAAGAATTGAAATGGCATGTAAGGAGCTTAGCAGAGAGTCTCGAAATCTCATTTCTTAGGAAACCCAACACGGGTGCTGTATATGGTGAGCACCCATACATTTTCTGCACAAGGATCTGATACTGTTTGGCATCTTGAGAATCTGAACATTTTCAAGCATATTTGCAGAGAAAATCCTGAGAGAGTATGTGTGTGTGAAGCAAGAGAGGTTGGGAAATGAGACGATAGCTCTAGTAAGCAAAGGCTGTGGCTGTAGTGTTCCACACTGCCTTCACCTCTCTAAGATTTTGGATAGAACTGCTGAGACTTCTGGCCATAACATTGGTCTTTGTGTCTAGCTGTAAACTCTACAGAATCTATGTGTGCATGATGAACATGCCCACAGAGGCTAATCTGTCCTCAAGCTCATATCTCATCGCTGGCACTGTAATATCTGCAGCATTCTCTTGGCACCAGGAAGCGGAGACTGGGAGAAACCAAACAAAGATTTGTTCGTGGAGGCACTAATGACCATATCATAGCCGTAGATAGTAATGGGCTTGTGCTAGGTTGTTAGAGAAACTAACAAGCTTTTGAAAGTGTCTGACCTGCTTGGATTTATTTTCATTTCTGCGTGATTCTTCAGAGATGTTTTGCCCTGAAATTGCCCACTAAAATACATTACATTCCCCCCCCCCAGGCTTTTGATGAATGTGGTGGTGTGCTTCGTCCTGCTCAGAAGGCAGTCAAGTCTGATCACAAAACTTGTTCTGGCCACTCAGTCAACACATCCAAGAACCTTCAGCTTGTGCGGGTCCTCGACTCCTCTCAGGGATGTCTGCAAGATCAGTAGATTGGCTACATGCTGTCAGTGTTAGTTGTCACAGAGGGAAAGGTCTGGGCTTCTTCAAGTCACAACCTACATGCCTGGCTATGTACAAAAGCAACCAAGCAGGAACTGCGACAATTGCTGAATGGACATCCCCACTGTCTTGCTTGGATGTAAGGGAGCATCCTCTTGACCCTTGCAGTTATGGTGGTGAAAAGCCCACCACATGGGCACAACATTGCTGCTGCTCTTGCTGCACTTAGAAGCTCTTAAACAGGGGTAGACAAACTAAGGCCCAGGGGGAAGATCCAGCCCAATCGCCTTCTAAATCCAGCCCACGGACGATACGGCAATCAGCGTGTTTTTACATGAGTAGAATGTGTCCTTTTATTGAAAATGCATCTCTGGGTTATTTGTGGGGCCTGCCTGGTGTTGTCACATGAGCAGAAATCAGCGTGTTTTTACATGAATAGAATGTGTCCTTTTATTGAAAATGCATCTCTGGGTAATTTGTGGGGCATAGGAATTCCTTCATTTTTATTTATTTTTCAAAATATAGTCCGGCCTCCCACAAGGTCTGAGGTACAGTGGACCGGCCCCCTGCTGAAAACGTTTGCTGTCCCCTGCTCTTAAAGGAAAAAGAAACCTTGTAAAGGCACCATGTGATGAAAGCTTCAGTCACCTAGGCTACCATGTGCTATTTAGTTATTGCAGGAATAATTTGATCTGCTGCACTTCATGGCTTGTTAAAAATGAGCTCGTCGCTCTCTTCCAAGCTTCAAAACACTTTTTGTGGTGGGGGGAAGGGAGACTTCATTATGATATTTTTTCTGAGTGCCAACATGGCCCAGTGGCACACTCTTCCTCATACTGAGTCTGCTGACCATTGCATTTAGTGTCTGATCCTTCAGTGATGTAACAGTTCCTCTAAGGTGCTGCCCTGGGGCACCTGAGGTCAGGATGCTGAGGCAACCGGAAGGAAGGGATTTGGCAGAGGGTGTCTCTGGGAGACCTGGGAGTAAAGCAGATTAAATGTGATTTAGGCATGCCCAAGGAGGTAGCTTTCCTCCAGAAATCCAGGTCTTTAATGACCTCAGCAGCCCTTAACCTAATTTGTTTGCTGCTCAAGTGCATGGTTTCATTTCAGCCTCTTGGCTGCTGTTTGCTGGTCACTGCTAACACTGGTTCCTTTATGTAAGGGGGGGGAGTGGAATTACAGCTTGTGCAACATTGCTGGGAGTGGATTATTGCTCAGGACATGGGGGTGTCTTCTTTGGGACCGCAGATACTTCTGTTAAGGAATTACCTGTGTGTGATGATTACCACAGAGTAACAAACATGCTTTAAATTCAGATGCTAATGTATCAGTCATGTACCAGTAGCACCCTGAAGGACAAATGTTCCCACTAAATGTAAGAAGGAAAAATAAAAATAAAAATGCAACCCTCATAATCTGAGTTAACCGTGACAAGACGGTTTAGGGGCTGCCAGCTAGTTTTGTTCTGGGTCCCCTTTCTAATTTTCTTTCTTCTCTTCACCCTGATTGTTTTCAGCCATTTTGGGAAGGGGGTACTGGTACAAAATACTTCAAAAATATCTGGCAGACTTCTGTGGCACCTTCCATTCTAGTTTTGTTTTGCACAGTTCATGATATTTGGTTATTTGTACACATTTTAAGGATAATCTAAGAAAGTGAGAGGCAAGCAAGGACTCCACACAAGACTGCTCTGAAGCCATTGGGTCAATAATATTTACAAGATAGCAAATTACCCATGGCCAGTCCACATAATTAAGCAACAGTTCTAACAAAAACTGTTCATACAAAACTTCCTCGGACGTTATACGTTACTGCCTGTATCGAACTATCATCCTGACAGGCTTGTGCAGAGGTCATAAGACATTGCCAGCATTCGGCTGTTATCTTGCACTTTCCGGTGCAATTCCCCATCCCTTTTCTTATCTGCCTTTTTGTGGTTAAAAAAATGACAGAGTAGTTGCACTCAAAGGTGTCGGATGGCAACCAAATCTGGAGGAAATAAATAGCCCATCTGGAAATGCTGCCACGTTAAAATAATATTTACATTGGGGGTTGTGGTTTGCAGTCTGCTGCTTTTTGTGCCCTCAATTTGGCTGAAGAGATCCTGTTGCCAGGAGCTGCAAAATTGCAAGTGATGTCCTTTCAGGAGGGCACAGCTGTAATGCAAAGGGTACAGCATTGTTATGAGTCCCACTCAGTACCCAGTATGCTTATCAAAGCCAAAGTACCGTATTTTTCGCTCCATAAGACGCACCTGACCATAAGATGCACCTAGTTTTTAGAGGAGGAAAACAATAAAAAATATATATTCTGAATGAACCAGTGGATGTATGATTTTTGTGGTTCATGCTGTGGCCACAGACATGATATGTGATTTGACGGTGAGTTTGGGGTAGCCCAATGCAAAAATCCTGAAAATCCATGTGGATCCGTGCTTTGTAACCATGTTTTTGCACCATTGCGGCCCCACAAAACGGTGGATGCATGATTTTTTTGGTGTAGGCGGTAGCCATGGACATGCTATGTGATCTGATGGTGAATTTGGGGTGACCCAATGCAAAAATCCTGAGGATCTATGTGCTTTTACCTCCCCCTTCCCAGGTAGCCTCCTTTATCGCTAGATCCCTAATCTTCCTCCCAGTCGCTTGCCAATCAGCTGCTCAGTGGCTTTGTTTCAACACCCCCTTCCCCCTTTCTAAAAAAAAAAAAAAGCATGATATGCTTTTTGCCCCTGGGCAATTTGGCTCCAGGGCCCACGCATTCGCTCCATAAGACGCACAGACATTTCCCCTTACTTATTAGGAGGAAAAAAGTGTGTCTTATGGAGCGAAAAATACAGTAACTTTAGCTGCATAAAGGACTGGCTGAATTTCCAGGATTGTCTGGAAATGCGTTGGAATCAGGCAGGTTTAGGATGTTGTGGTAGCTGCTGCTGCAGCAGCAGAGATTGTGCCACATTATGCTGTTGTTTAGAGATGCACTGGGCTGCCAAGACTGAAGGACTTGTCTGTGACTGAATCTTTGGTGCAGTACAAGAATTAATTCAGGCAATTGTTTTTTATTGGATCTATGGTGTGTGTGTGTGTGTGTGTGTGTGTGTGTGTACACAAGCTTTCAATTTCCAAGGGGTAATTCTTCCAGTAGAATGGAAGGTAAAGCAAATTCTGAACTGGCATACAAAACAGCACAAATATAGGGCATTACTCATGGGTGCTTAGTATTTCTCCCTCTGGCTATAGAAATGCTACAAGCAGCCCTGCTGGGTAAAGAACAAAGGATAGATTTATGTATTAAAGGCAGACTCAGAAGATGCATCCACTTTTTCTTAACCCCTGCCCAGACTCCTGTGAGCATCTCATACCATGCAATGAAAGGAAAGGAAAGGCTTTTTTGTTTATAGATGATGGATGCTGCTTAGTTTGGCCTCTTTCCAGCCACAAACCTTTCCCACCAGAGGAGGACAGTTGCACAGTGGGGCAGAGGCTTTGAAGTTAAAAGCAGCTAGAGCTACCCTGGCCTGCGGCAATCCCTGGCCAATGGACTAGGCTGGCCATACTGCAAAAAGAATAACAAGGTTTCTTTCCCTTTAGGAGCTTTGAAAGAGCACAACAACCAACAGGTACCGTTTTTCCTGCTGTAGCAACACTGAAGAACTTTTACCTGCCGTAGAACACCTCAAAGGGACAGAAGCCCTGTTGTGGATAGAACACTAGGGGTGCATTTTTTGCCAAAAAAAAAATAGAAGGCATTTCCCTCTCATTAGGGCTACATTAGAGGGCTGAGCTAATGGCATGACTTACCTCAAATGTTTGCATTGAACATTTACTTGACATGCCTGAAAGCGCACTCATTCTACCATCTTCCATCCCTGTTTTAGGCCAGAGGAGAAAACCCTCTCTCGTTACACAGTCAGGTCTACATAGCAGCCACCTGACGTCCACTTAGGACTGATGGAAGCTTCTTTTTCCAACAGAAATGTGGCCAATAGTTGGCATCTCCTTAGCTACATACCTTCTCTCTCATTGAAGATTTGGCACACAGCCAGTCTTTCAAAATGGATATATGACTTTCCGATCTATATGGTACTCCTCTCCCCGTTCTACATACGGAAACTGTTAAAGGCTCTGCATGCAGAAGGTCGCAAGCTGACATCTCTAGGTAGAACTGGGAGAGACCTTGGTCTGAAACCCTGGAGAGCGGCTGCCAGTCAGTGCAGACAATACTGACTGCGGTGGACCCAAGAGTTTGACTCAGCATAAGGCATATGTTCCTAATATGTTCCTAATATGCTCTACACCTTTGACAAAACTGAGAAAACCATGTCCAAGGGTAAAGATTACAATGTGATGGCCTCCTTTGCTGAGCTCTGGATTAGTAGAGGTAGCTTAGAAAAAGGTATCAAAGATAGACTGATCATTAAAATCTCCTAATTTAAGTGTTTGTCAGTACATAGGGGAAAACCCCCCGCTGTGTTGAACAGCGTTACACAATTCTGCAAGCCATTCACGGAAGCCCTATGGCTTGTATTCCTTCAAATTTCTGTTCACAGTACAGTGGAACCTCGGTTTTCGAACTTCATCCATTCCGGAAAACCATTCGACTTCCGAAACATTTGAAAACCGAAGCATGCATTTCCAGAAGCAATTACGTCCGGAAAACTCAATGCGGAAACCACATGGCATGTTCGGCTTCTGAAAAGCATTCAAAAATGGAAGCATTTACTTCCAGGTTTTCAGCATTCGAAAGCTGAAACGTTCGACTTCTGAGACGCTCAAAAACCAAGGTACCACTGTACCATTGTGCCTTTACACATATAAACATCACTATTCTTGAGACTCCGTCTATCTCATCCCAGCATCCAGAAACATCAGTTTTCCATATACACTCCTCCTTAGGTTGGACCAGACCCCATACAATAGCAACATGGTCTCTTGTTCATCAAAGCTGAGCTCCACATAGCTAAAAACTGTCTCTTTCCACTGTCTGGTCAGCATCACAGCCCCCCGGTACCAAAGCTACACCCTCCCCTTCCAGCCTGCCGGCTCCATCCACGTTCCTGTTCTCTGCAATGTGGTTCGCTGCATCACCCCCTGCGTTGTTAATGTTGCGGGAGAGGTGGTGGTTGTCTCCAGGGTGGTCCTCCGCTTCCGGGACATCTGATTCTGCTTCCTCTGTTTCACTGCCACCTCCGCCTGCAGGAGGGTTCTCTGGCTGAGAGTTCTTCTTTTCCTTCCTGCTCAGGCAGCAGTAAGAAGCCACAGCCAGAAACAGAGACGACAACACAACCTCCGAGCCAGCCAGGTAGAAGATAACCTCGTATTTCTTGAGCGCATCCACCAATCGTCCTGGGATTTTAAAAAAAGACAAAGAGAGAGAGCATAGCATACCTGTATTATAGCAACCTCCCACAATTTCATGTTGATGCCGTATTAAAGCACTTCCTCAAAAACTGGAAGCTGTGCTGCTTGAAAGCTCACAAAATGTAGACATCAAGGCAGAAAATGGTACCCACAGTCAGTATATTTCCCCCTCTCCTTAGTTCCATGCATTCCCCTGCCTGGTCACTGAAGCAGCAGAGATGGTAGGATACAACTATGGAAGGAACAGGATGAGCAAGTTGTTTCTTTAAGGCAGGGATAGCTGACTTGTGGCTTCCCAGTGGCACACGATGATGGGAGCTGCCATCCAACAACATATTGAGGGTCACATGTTATCCACCCCCAACTTGCGTTGGAGGTGAATCTGGGCTGGCCTGTACGCACACATCTCACAACCCTCACTTCTAAGTCTTATTCCTCCAAGTTTCTAGTGCTTAACTCTGTTCTCTTTGCTGCTTCAGGGTTCAGTTAATGGTGATGCTAGGTAGCCTATAGGGCTAGCAGGAAAAGGGGCCGTGTGCTTGTGGAAGAAAAGCAACAAAGGGAGAGTGATGCTGAGGATTGCAAAGGTAGGGATCAGGCTCCTTGGGCCACCCTGGAACACACTTGGCAATAAATACGCTTTGCCACCACGTAGTATATTAAATGAACCAATGGGGACTTCATAGTACTTTAAGACATATGTGTGTAAGAGGTGGAGGGGAGTCAGAATGAAAAAGGGTTTAGAGAAAAATAAGATGGCTGTGTCACTTACTCCCAGCACTGTGAGTCATCCCTTTTTAAGCCAGCCAAGAAACACACAGAAACTGGGAAGGCAGGCAGTCAAGAATGTGTGCTTTCCATAGTAAGTTGCCTGTTCTTCTTCAGAGAGCCCATGTGCATAGTAAAATGTCAAGTGGTATCTACCTGCAAACTGGAGATGTCCTATCCTGTGAAATAAACCAGTATTCTGGCATGATAGGAAGCCACCATGTTAGGTCAGGTTGGCTGGAGAGAGAACAGAATCCCTAAGGTATTTGCAAGCTATTTCAGCAGGAATATTGGCATTTCCAGGAGAAACACATGGTTAAGGTGTTGCGGCACCTTCATGTGGCCAAATCTCCTAAGAAGCCACACACCCCTGACCTGACAGCCAGTGTGATGGTTACAGGGTCAGTCTAAGATCAGGGAAACCTGAGTTCAAATCTCTACTCAGCTGTGAAGTCCACTTGGTGGTCTTGGGCCGGCCCTTCTTTCAGGCCTTAAAGGATTGTTGTGCAAATAAAATGGGAGACGATCAGGCATGAACTCCCTAGAAGAAGAAGTGAGCTAAAAATTTAATAAAAACTAAACCCCCAAACCCTGGCTCCTAACCACAGATATACTGAGACTCATCAGTGGGATGGGATAGCTTTCTGCAAATGTTCAAATGCACCCTGCTCTTTATTATTACTTTTATGAAGTTTTTGTCTTGGGGTTGGGCTCTTTCATGGAAGCCCCGCATGCAATTAAGCTCTGCAGAAATGAGTGCAGGTAACAGGTGCCCAAGACTTACCTGCAGAGGGAGGTCCAATGAGCACAGCAAAGGCCTCAATGAGCAGCACAAGCCCGATGGCACTGGAGAACTTCTGTGACCCAATGATGGCCATGAGCACTTCAAACTGCAGGGCCCCCACCATCCCGTAGGAGATGCCAAAGAAAATGCAGAAAATGACAAGGGCCGTGTAATCGGTGGCCCTGGCGCTGAAGATATCTGTCAGGCCATTGAAGAGCATAGCGAAGCTGAACAAGTAGGTCACATGGGGCCGCACCCGCTTCAACCCAGCAAGTATCCCGCAGGACGGGCGGGCAAAGATGTCTATGAAACCAATGATGGACAGGAGGAAAGCGGCTTCTTTGTCTGGCACTCCTGAGTCTTTGGCATAGTTGACTAGCAATATGGTGGGCACAAAGAGACCTAAGACCATGATGAACTTGGCAATGGCGTAAATGACGAAACCCCGGTTTTTAAAAATAGAAAAATCCAACAGCTTCTTCCCTTTCTTCTTCTTCTTCTTGGCTTTATTTGACTTCTTGGCGCTGTCCGTGGTGCTGACAGCCTCTTCGGCCCTTCCTCCCATGGGCAGCATTTCTTTGGCTTCATATTTGTCCTGGGCTTCCTCTCCTTTCTTCTTCCTGTTCAGCTCCAGGGGTCTCATGACTGCTCCGCAGGTGCAGCAGTTAAGCAGGAGTCCCCCCATGATGAGGAATCCCCCTCGCCAGCCAAACTTCTCCAGCAAGACTTGGCCCAGTGGAGAGAGGGCTGAAAGGAAGACGGGACTCCCGGCCGCAGCGAGCCCATTGGCCAGAGGTCTGCGCTTGTCAAAGTAGGACCCTAACATGATCAGAGAAGGCTGAAAGTTCAGAGCCATGCCTAAACCTGTGGGGTATAAAGGGATTTGTGAGTAACAGGTGAGAAAAGAGGATTGTGGCTTTAAGAGATGTACAGTGGTACCTCGGGTTACAGACACTTCAGGTTATGTGATTTCAGGTTGCGCACTGCGCCGAACCCAGAAGTACTGGAATGGGTTACTTCCGGGTTTCGGCGCTCGCGCATGCACATAAGCACTAAATTGTGTTTTGCACATGTGCAGAAGCACCGGATCGCGACCTGAACATGCACAGACAGTTGCAAACGGTGCAGGTTGCGAAAGGTGTGGGTTGCAAACGTGCTTCCAGCATGGATCACATTCGCAACGCAAGGTTCCACTGTATAGGTTTCAAGATCCTGGTATATCAGCTTTACTGAGGTCCCCATTGCGCAGCCAATTCCTGAATACAGAATTCATCCATGCAATTTATAACACTACCGAGTTATTTCAGACTCTTATTTGAAGTTCTATGTCATGAAGACAGTACCTCTTGATTGGGCTCCACTCAATCACAGAATTTGCAAAGCAAACACAGAAGCCTAGCTGATATCACCAATAATGCTCACACGTACCCCAAAGGAGCCAAAAGGTGCATTTAGCATCGTGTGTGTGAAAATGCTGCAAGCATTATGTTCTTTCCTCCCTTTTGCACTTTCACACCACTCTGACGATTTCTCATGCCATCTCTCACTTCCAGATGCATTCCCATGTGGCACTGCTTTCCACCCAGCCCCCTTGCCCAACGCTAACCTGTCAGCACACCAGCCGTCAGGTACAGCTCAATAATGTTGGTGGTGAAGGAGGCTAGAATCATCCCAGAGGAAGCCAGGAGCCCCCCAACAAGCATCACAGGCCGGCACCCAAACTGGTTCACCAAAATACTGCTCACAGGCCCTGCAGAGAATCAAAGAAACAAGAAAGAGAGGAAAGGCCTGGGTTAAATAAAAAGGGGAAGAAAAAGTGAAGCAATGTGTGATTTCCTGTCACCATGCGATTGGTTGCATTATTATGAATAGAAGAAATGTCTGCCTCCTTAAGAACAAGGGTGGAGGAACTTTTTTTTTTTCTGTTGAAGGTGATATTCCCTTGTGAGTGATCTGTTGTGAGCCACATGCCAGCGCTGGGCAGGGGCAGATCAAATGCTGGTGGAGTTTTCAGCACTACAAGATTATCTAGCTCGCTCTCTAGGCCACTACATAGGGACGCGGGTGGCACTGTGGTCTAAACCACTGAGCCTCTTGGCTTGCCAATCAGAAGGTTGGTGGGGTGAGCTCCTGTTGCTCAGTCCCAGCTCCTGCCAACCTAGCAGTTTGAAAGCACACCAGCACAAGTAGATAAATAGGTGCCGCTGTGGTGGGAAGTTAATGGCGTTTCCGTGCGCTCTGGTTTCCGTCACAGTGTCCTGTTGCACCAGAAGCAGTTTAGTCATGCTGGCTACATGACCCGGAAAGCCGACAAACGCCGGCTCCCTCGGCCTGAAAGTGAGATGAGCGCCGCACCCCATAGTTGCCTTTGACTGGACTTAACTGTCCAAGGGTCCTTTACTTTTTTTGCCTTTACCTAGGCCACCACAGCTCTCTCCCTGCTTTCTCCTCTCTTTCCATCTCTCTGTCCATTTCAGCTTTCTCCCTCAGTCCATCCTCCACAAGCACAGCTCCAAAGTGATTGCTTTGCAGGGAGATTGCCCCAACCATCTCAGCTTCTTCCACTTCCATTTCTCCTCCCTCTGGGGTCTCCCCCTGCCAACACACACACACAATGTGTGCTGAAAGACTCCTGGGCTCATCATGTGGCTGCTGCATCTCCTTCTCCTCTCTACATACAGTATACTGAAGAGAAAGTGATTCCCAGAGGGGTGGTTCAGGAGAGCAAGAGTGGGCACACAACATCCACAGGGCCATGTGCCATAGGTCCTGTGGTGCCAATCAGGGTGGGCAGAATCTGACAGAGGAGGAGGAGGAAGAAAAAGCAGAAGATGGTCCCAATGATGGAGGTGGGGGAAGCCTGAGTAGCAAGTTGGGAGAGGTCTTAGCTCTGTGATTGCTGGACGTCATATAAGGGGGTAGAGAACCATGTGGGCCAGTAAGGTTTTCTTGATAGTTGGAGAGACTGGCATCCAGTCAGTGGGGCAACTGAACTAGAGGTAGAAGGGAATGGGTCAGACTGACTCATGTTTTGTTGTCGAGGGTGCACTGTCATCTGCACCAGCACAAACAGACCCAGCCCACTCCCCAAAGTGCACTGCCACAAGCTCAGTCTTCTCGCTTGGGAAAAGAACTGCATGAATGTCTGGAAGATGCTCTCTGGCACTGTTATACTTCATAGGCAAACAGGACAGTAGCCTCACACCTCAGACATCTGACTGCTGGCTATTTGTCTACAAGTCTTTTGTTCTCTGCCCCAGCCATTGGCATTGCAATGTGCAAAGCAATGTCAAAGAATGCTTGCCAGCATTCAACCACTGCAACACAAGAAAGTTTACTCAATTAGTTATTTGCTCTCCCGCCCCCCCAGATCTGGGGGCCAGAAATGCTGTGGACTGCAGGGGTCTGGGGCACCAGGGCAGCTGAAGTTATAGGAATCCAGGAGGGGAGCTGGGTGAAAGCTCACTCTGCTCAGAATAGCGGCAGACTGTCGGTGGGAATGAAGGAAGGTTGTTAAGGAGGCCACTCACAATAAACCAGTGAGATCCTTGGCTAGATCTTTGCTTTCATGGCTGTGTACATTTATAAGCACAGACAAGGAAGTGTTTCACGGGACAGAGTCATGTGATCCTTACCTGTTCCATACAACATAGCCAGCATGATAGATGAGATCCAAGCTGTGTCACTATAGCCCACATGGAAGTCATGCATCAGCTCCTTGAAATATATGCTCACTGCCTTTGGAAAGGCATAGGAAAAGCCAGTGATGACAAAGCAACCAAACAGTATTATCCAGCCCCAGCCACCATCTGGAGGCTTTGCTCTTTCTGGCAGGTGGCCGTCCTCAGCATGGCCCTTCCCCATTGGTCAACCAGGGGCAGGAACCCGAAAGTGAGCAAGATGAGTGGTGCTGCAGGAACAGAAGAGAACAGAGGATGCAGATACAGACATGCAGCTCCCATTGTCTCCCTTCAGCCTTGTTTCTGTTCATGTGCTTCCCCTCCCTCTTTAAATCTGAAGTAGGGCAATAACTATGTCCGAAGGCAAACTCATGCAAGAGACTAACAGTGCTGCTCAACAAGGCAATAGCTGCAGTAAATAAATACTGCAGCATCAAAATGCAGTGTAAAGCAATAGGAACTAAAGACAATTAATTAAGAGTAAAATGCAACTGAAACACAATTTAAAATTCAGTTCAGATGTAAGAGGCCCAGTTTGTGAAACAAGTTGCTTGAAATGCCTGGGTGAGTAAAACGATACTTCCCCTGAAAATCCCCTGAAAATCTCTGAAAATCCATAAAGTTGGCACCAGCTGAACCTCTCTGAGAAGGCTATACCATAATTGGGATACCACTACTGAAAGGGGCCTCTTCCTGTTTCTTACCCACTTGGCTTCATTTGCAGGATCACTCAGAACAGGGCCTCTGAAGCAGATCTTAATATTCAGTCAGTATATAAGGGGAAAGTCACTCTTTCAGGGAATCTGGTCTCAAGCCACTTAGGTTTAAATCTCAATTCAACATCAGTAATACAACCAAAAACCAATGAATTGTTGTACAACATAACATACATTTTTTTGAGGGAGCTGGGTATGTTTAGCCTGGGGGGAAAGGCAACTGAGAGGAGATATGATAGCCATCTTCAAATATTTCAAGCCTGTTTTCTCCTGCTCTGGAGGGTAGGGCTTGATCCAGTGGATTCAATTAACAAGAAAGGAAATTCCGACTAAACATCAGAAGGAACTTTCTGACGGTAAGAGCTGTTCAACAGCGGAATGGATTTCCTCAAAAGGTGGTGGACTTTCCTTCATTAGAAGTTTTTAAGTAGAAGTTAGATGGCCATCTATGATTCTATAATACTTTCATGGAAACAGCAAGAAGCAAAGAACTGGCATTTCTGGCACAGCTACTTCCTCTGGACAGTCAGGAGACATAGCAACGTATCTCCAGCTTGGAGCCAGAATATCTAGGCTCTGACACTTTCTCTTTCCCCCTTGAGTTTCAGGCTTGTTTATTCCCCTCTGGTCCTTGGATTTCCTCTCCCACTCTTTGTCTAGCTTTAAATGTTAAAGTACCATGATCTGTGGTGTGATTAAAAACCATTAATACCATCTTTTGCTAAAGGCTCTGCATGCTGCTGTAATGCAGAAAACAATGGCCCCTTCTTCTGAAAGACCTTAAACGCAGACAAATAGGCCAAAAGTTGTGACCAAGAGCACAAATTAAGCAATTATTGTGTGAGTGCATGCCAGACAGATTATTTGCCTGTGTGCAATTGCTATGGTTGAGTACAAAAGTGTGGGTGTAAACAGGGGATTGGAAGGGGGCAGTGGAGGTGTCTCAAAGCCTTAAGCTGGTCAAGAATGTCTATGTAAGTTTGCTACCCCCTCCGCAAGTTTTCCAGTGCAACAACACATGACCTTTGTGATACTGAGCATGCTGGCAATGGGGAGGTTATTACAGCATTAGCATCAGGAGGCCATGCTGCCAGATCCTGTGGCGCTTCAGTGGCTGTGGCAACACCAACAGTGTCTCGCAGTACCGTAACTACCGTGGTACCTTATCTGTACCCAAGAGGAAGATGTGTGCAGCTTATGCCCATTGCAGGGAAACTCCAGGTACTTCCCAGGCACTGGGCTGCACCAGCACCTGTGGGATCAGCACTGGGCAAGTGCTCTTTGGCTGCGTTATCTCTGGGGTTGTAAGAAGGCATATTTCCCACTTCACTCTCTATTTATCGCATGCAGCTGTGCTTCCATTCTGTTGCAGTTCATCTTCCACATATCACGACGTTATTCAGCTCACTGTCCACTATGGTGAAATTACGTAACTCACCTAATTTATGTAATTAGTTACATATTTTTTGTAATTACATTAGCATTGCATTATTCCACCCCATTCATTTCAGTGCAAAGGAAACAGAATGCAAATGGAGGGATGGGAAAATCCTAACATCTGCAGACTGAAAGCACCACCAACAGCCAATGCTGATCATATTCCTGGGATTTATTTCCATTCTGGAAATGGGACAAATAGTAAGTAAGCATGGGCAATTTCTGCTCTCGTTTCCATTTTTCGCTAGTAATCTCTGGCATCCCTAGTTGTCTCTGGAGGACAGCCAACACAGCAATACTGATAGAAGCTGCTGCACTGGGACTGGTTTCTGCACTAGATGTCAGTGTAATGCTCATGGCCAGTCCTACCATGAGGCAGAATGAGGCAGCCACCTCAGATGGCAAATATTGATGAGCAGGGAAGACCTGTGCGTGCCTTGTGGCATGCCCTACACCCTCTAAGCTACAGGTGCCATCCTGTCTTTTGCTTCAGGCAGCCAAATGTATTGGGCCAGCCTGGAGGACACTTGTGCATTTTTGCTGACATGCAAATGATTCAGCAGGGTGGATCCTTTTGCAGTGATGTTTTGTAGACCGTATTCATGGCAGTTAATACATTATAGTTGCCACACACAGAATTTTCAGTGGCACAATAAAAAAGCACTTGCGCTGCAAAGTTTTATGCTCCACACAAATAACTCACTGTATTATGAGCCATCATTTAAAATGGCCTTTGCATGGGATCTATAACATGAAAACCAGGGGTGGGGAAATTCTGGCCCTCCAGATGTTCCTGGACTCCAACTCCCATCATCCATCGCCACTGACATGCTGGCTGGGGCTGATGGGAGTTGGAGTCCAACAACATCTGGAGGGCCAAAGGTTCCCCAGATCTGATATAAACCTGCCTTGGGAGCTTGTTTGCCCCCCTTTCTCTCAGTTTTGCTAGCCTTCATGGATACAGAGACAGGCTTTCACTTTACTTGTAAATTGCCTCAGTCTGAAGGCTCCAGGAATATAAAAATAAGCAACACCTAACACCTGGGCAGCAGACTAAACGGGCACAAAAACCACCAGGTAACAGTCTTCCCCGTTTTGTATTTCTACTTAAATTATGGTAATTATTTCCACATATGCATATATACATATTGATCAGCACATGCCATTTTTCATGCAGATTGGTGTACTCTTTCGTCATCTTCTTCTTGTTGTTGTTGATGTGTCTCTTCTTTTTTGGCCACTCTCTCTTAGCCAGAGGCCTACATGTACATATCTATACAGAGCATGTACACGCACAGAGTCTGGCAGAAAAATAATCAGACTCCAGGGGAGAAGAGATTTCCCTTCAGGTCCAGTAATCAATATGGCTCATATGCACTCTTTTTAAAGCAAGCCAAGACAACATAACCCAGGACACAAGGTTCCACAAAATAAGGGACTCAACACAAACTCCAAATTTCATACAAGTTGCAAGACCCCAGAAGCCAGTTCCTGGGATCCCCAAACCTAAAACAGCAGAGACTCTCCACCTGAATGCACAAGCAGCACAAAGGAAAGCATCCAGGGCAAATTAACTTAGTCTTTAAGAGCATCCCTTGCTCAATATGTTATGACACTAGTATTCATCCTGAGTTGAAACCAGTTGGGCATCCTCCTTGGGTCACTAATTCCCAACGCATATAACAATGCTAACACCTGACATACAAAATAGCATGCTCCATATTAAAATACAGACCTTGGGTGGGCTGTGCCTTCCCTTTCACTTCTTGACTTCCAAGGAGATGGATCCAAGGAGCGCTTCCTAGTGCCTAGGGCTAGTTTGAAGAAGGAGGGGACAACCTTTCAGAACTCACTCCATGACAGGCATCCAATGAGAACCCCTGGAAGAAGCCTTCTGATTTCTTGCATCCTTCTTCCTAGACAGCAAAAACCTCAGCTCTCAAAGATCCTGAAAGCCTGGTGCAGATGGGGTCTTCTTGTGGTGATCAATAGCTGCTTCCAGGCCCTCCTCCAGAGTCCCCTTGGCTCTGCGAAGCCTGCAGCTCAAGCACCAAAGTGTTTACCGCATGGATGTGGGTCAGCAGCTGCTTATGTTTTAAAGTCGCTAAAGAATCATAGGTTGCTGATCTAGCAGAAAGAAACCACTTCTCCACTTTTAAGAGGCTTTCCCAGCCAATGGGAAGGAGCAGAGCCGGCATGCCTGGGCCACAATCCCCCTGTAATCCAGCTTCTCCAAAGTGAGAGGTAGCTGGGAGAGGGCAAGAGTCTTTAAGCTTCCTCCCTCTCTGCTCTTGAGGTTTTCCTGCAGGGTTTGAGGAGGGGAGGGCATTGGTTCTGGCTCCCGAGACCAGGGCATAATAAAGTTGCAGGAATGATGCTGGCAGGATGCCATCATAGGACATGACACTGACAAGACACAATCTCAGAGCAGGGAACATGCAGAGGTCAAGATGAACATCCCAGGGAGCCTCATGCTTCTACATTGTCCTATGAGAAGCAGTCGTGTTCAGGGTCAGATTCACCATAGCAGTAACATCTAGACAACTATCCCATGCGTTCCCTAACCATGCCAATGGTAAGTAAAGCAACAGCTCCATCTGCAGACAATTTAAACAATGACTTCACGTTGCATTTCAGTGCACCTTACAGATGCTTAATTAAGTGTTTTTCTGGATGACCCGTTTATTGAACATTCATCCTGATTTCATTTACGAAAAGCTTATGCCATAGTTGCGGAGCACTTGTGCGTCAGTGGCATTCATCGCCCATTGGAACTGATTTGCCTCTAAGGCGTTTACACACCTTCCTGCAAGTCATTTGTTCATCCCATACTTTTCAATGCGTTTCCAAACCACAAAAAGTCAATAGTGGTTTGTTTGTTTTAATGAATTTTAATCAGTTTGGATTAGAATGGATTAAAACCCATTTGGATGAAGTCACAATTAATGAACTGTCAATAACTCCTGTGAGAAAAACTGATGAATAGTTCCTTACTGCATGTTTCAGATTCATAATATCATGGGGGAGGGGG